CTCAGCGGCCATGGCTCACGGGCCCAGCCGCTCCGTGGCATGTGGGATCCTCCCAGACCGGGGCACGAACCCGCGTCCCCTGCATCGGCAGGCGGACTCAACCACTGCGCCACCAGGGAAGCCCATGAAGGATTACCTTTAACATTTCTTAGAGTACAGAGTCTTCTGGTGTTAAATTATTTCAGCTTTGAAATGTTTGACAAAGTCTTCATTTTATAAAGATATTTTACTGAATATAGAATTCCAATGTATATATAGTGTCTCTTCCAGTACACTTGCTCTGCTATTTTCTGGCTTGCATTGTGAAGAGTGAGCAATTTGTTCTTACTCTTTTTCCCTCTGTAATATGACCTTCCTTGTGCAATGTGTCTTTTTCTGTGCTGTTTTTTGTGATCATTTTCTTTATCACTTGCTAGAAGCAATTTTATTTTGATGTGATAATATAATTTGTTTCACATTTCTTGTGCTTGAGTTCACTAATATTTTTGTACCTGTATAGAGCCCCCCACCCCGGTTTGTAAACATTTCAGTAATTGCCCTTGTACTCCATCTTTCAGGGACTTCAGCTATGCTTGTACTAGGCTGCTTGATATTTTCCCACAGCTCACTGAAGCATTGTTCCTTTTCTTTTAAAATTGTCTTTCTGTATTTCATTTTGGATCTTTTCTAAGTGAGATAAGTCAGACAGAAAGACAAATACTATACTTTCTCACTTATGTGTGGAATCTTAAAAAAAAAAAAAGCCTCATTGAGACAGAGTGAAGTGGTGGTTGCCAGGGACTGGGTGGGGGCAGATGGGGGAGGGAATAGGGGTAGAAACCACTATTTATAAGGTAAATAAGCTCTGGGAATTTAATGTACAAAATGGTGACTGTAAGCAACAATATTGTCTTATTTATTTGAAAGCTGCTAAGAGAGTAGATCTTAAATGTTCTTACCATACACACAAACAAATGGTAATTATGCGATAAATATGTTAACTAACCTTATCGTGGTAATTACTTTGTAATATATACGTGTATCAAAGCATCACATTGTATAACTTAAACTTACATGATTTTTATCAATTATATCTCAATAAAGCTGGAAAAAAGAGGAACCATTTCAATGGCAGAAAACTCAGGTTAGGAAGGTGCAAACTGGGGAGACTTAAATGTTTCCTCTCCCCTCCACTCAACACTAGATCAATTGCTGTTTGCTTGATTGAGCATTGGATGAAGTGGTTGGGTTACATTTAGGAGTCATGGACAAAAATTACAAACTGAATTTTTAAACTCTGATATCCTGCTGCACACACCAGAGATGCTTGTACTATGTGAGACCCAGGAAGCTGCAATGGCAAGTTAAGCATGGAAGATGGGGCTCCTTGAACCTCAGCCAGACTGAATGCTCCTCCTTCCCCAGTTAAAATAATACTATACTTACCCTGGCTCCAGCCCCCGTCATCTTTCTTGCCTCCTGGAGGTGGGCATAGCACAGACCCTCCAGAAGGGCTGGGGCTGGCTTGGCTCTATTAGCCCTCAGTGCCTGCAGGGATGCCAGGACTGTCTCTCCTAGTCTCATCCCTAAATGCAGATTTCACACTTTTGTTTGGCCTCATGGCCAGTTAGATCCACCTGCTGCTTGGAACGACTTAGAGGCAGGGGCAGAGGATGGCTGGAATTCCTGTATTGCTAAGGCTGGAGGCAGGGAGAGGAGAAATGAAACTCTAAGCACAGAAATACCACCAAAAAGCGCCAGGGCAGACGCAGGAGGAAAAATGGGGTCCTGGTTTTGCTCTCTAAAGCTTGAGACTATGAATGTGGAGGAAGGAATGTTTACAAAGTCACATGATCACTACTGCTACAAAGAAGGAGAGACTATGTAGGGGGGTGAAATTTTGGAATATTTTAATCCCATCCTTTCTCTCACACAAGACTCCCTGAGGAGCCGTCTTCCATCTTGTCAGCAGCACAGACCCCAGAGGAGGGTCTACGGCTGGATCTTCAAAACAAAAATTAAGTTTCTAAGCAGGCTTTTGGGATTCATGGCACAGATCTAAAATCTTATACTTTCCAGAAAGCAGTCTTAAAATAATCTGAGGGGTAAGAGGAGAAGGAATGGAAGAGGGGATCTTACCTTGCCTGAGGTTAAGCCAGAGTTGACTGAGCTTATCAGGACTTGAATGCATTAAGTTTTCTCTCATCAAGAACAGTGACTAGATATTAGACGTTAAATTTATTTATGGGAAAACACAGTTACATCTTTTAAACATGAGTAGACATTCCTTCCAGAAGTATTTACATAGGTGACAGACATATTGGACATGTTGAGGAGACCATGTGCCAAGTACAGTCCTAAGTATTGGGAAAGTCGAGAAATTAATACAGTAAAGAGCTCTCCTCTCATGAACTTACATTCTAGCGAAGCAAGAACACAAATAAAAACCATAAGTTCAAATGACGACGAGCACTCTAATGAGATAAATAGCATGTTGGAGTGAGCGGTCTATTTTAGATAGGGTGGCTGGAGGGGCCATCTCAGGGAAGTGACATTTCGAGTAGAGGTCTGAATGAGGTGCAGAAGTAAGTCATGGAGATATTTGCAGAAGAGGTCTCCAGGAACAGAGAAGAAGTGGGAAAGTCCCAGCCTGGATCCGAACCTCCACAGGCAGGAGCAGAGGAGTGGGAAGATGGGGTTGAAATGAGCATGGGCTGTAGAGCTGTCAGGGTCTCGTGGACTTTGGTCTGTCAGTGACAACTTCCCAGCAGAGGAAGGGTAGAGTCATGAGCAGAGTTTAGAAGATGCTGGAGGAAGGGAATCAGCACTGGCTATTCTCCCATTTATCTGCTTCTCTTTCCTATAAGACTTTTTGAAAATGCTGTCTATTCTCACTGTCCCAAGCCCTCTCTTCTCATTCGCTCTTGAAGTCATTGCAGTCTGGCTTTCATCTTCACCTCTGCCCTTGACTGCCTTTGTCAAGGTCTCCAATGGACTCCATGTTGCCCAGCCCAATGGGTGTTCTTGGTCCTCATCTTTACAGCATTTCCTCCAATTGTTCATCCCTTCTCCTCAACGTCTCCACTTGTCTTCCGTGATACCCTGTTCTCCTGATGGGTTTCTTACCTGCTCCTTCTCAGTTTGTCCCAGTTTTCTTGACTTGGTCCTTCTCATCTGACCCCTTGACACTGGAGTAATTCAGGGGATGGTCCTTGAACCTCTTCTCTTTACTATCTGTATTCATTCCCTTGATGACCTCATCCTGGCTCATGACTTCACATGCCATTTATACACTGATGATTTCCAAATTTATGTCTACAGCATGAACCTTCCTCCGAACTCCACTAGTATATCTAACTGCCTACTTGACAATTCTACTTGGGTGTGTCTCATGGGTATCTCAAACTTAACACGTCACAAAGCTCACTGTTGATTTTTCCCACAAAGCCAGCCCCTCCTGTGGTCTTCTCTATATCTGTTAAATGGCAGCTCCATCCTTAGTCATTCATTCAGGCCAAGAATTTTTGAGTCATTGTTTGCTCTCGCCTATACCTCACATCTAATCTGTTAGTGAGTATTACTGATTCTATTGTCAAAGCATATCTATAATCTGACCACTTCTCCCTGCCTCTGCTACTGTTACCCGAGTTCTAAGCAGCTACTATGTGGCTGTGGTTGCCTCTTACAGTTCTACCTGCTTCCACCCTTGCCAGAGAGATCGTTTTAAAGTAAGTCAGATGATGCCAATCCTCTGTGCAGTACTCTGCAGTGGCTTCTCATCTCATTCACTGTAAAAGCCCAAGTTGCTGCATGATTTCTCCCACTGCCCGGCATCACCCACTCCTCCACCCTCACCTCTGACAGCTGTTTCCCTCATTCGCACATGCCCAGCTATACTGGCCTCCTTCCTGGTTTCAGAACATGCCTTAGGGACATGGCCCCTGCTGTTCCCTCTCCCCTCACTTATCCTCACCTTGACCTCATTCCTTCAGGTTCTTGCTGTAGGCCTTTCTTGACTACTCCATTTAAAATACACAACGTCCCCTCCCTGAGAGCTCCATAAACCTCTTCTTTGCCCTATTTTTCTACACAGTATTTCTAACATGCTTTATATTCCAGGTATGTGTTTATTTCACTTGCCACCTGCCTCCCACACTGGAATGAAAATTTTAGGAGGGTGGGGACTTTCACCTGTTTTGTTCAAGGCTGTACCCCTAAGTGTCTGGAACACAGGCACACGGGAAGCTCTCAATCTGCTCTCAATGGACAAAAGATCAATAAGGCAGAAGGTGATAAAGGGACTTCCAGCACAGAAGCACAGAGGTGAGTAAAGGTGAACTCAGGAGATGAGGAGATCTGGAACTGGCTGGGACCTGCCACTGACCCGCTGTGTGATCTCTGCCCTTCCTTCCCGTCTCTAGACTGTGTCATCCTTCGTGAAGCCAGGGTTGAACTTGATGACCGTGAAGGCTCCTCCAGCACCAGCTTTCTCAGATGTGGATCTTAAGCTGGGAAAGGAGCTGGTTTGGTGGTGCCTGGGGCCTGAGGCTCCCAGAAGTACTGGAGGCTGGACCACAGGGGAGAGAAAAGGCAAGGCTATAGCCGAGCACGCAAGGACTTGCCTGTAAGAGGAAGACCTGGGCTCGCCTTTCTCCCCTAAAGGCTTCTGACTTCTCTCTCTCCTTCCTGCCCTCCCCCCTACACCCCACTCCAAGCAGGCTTTCTAGTAAAACCTGAGTGGCAGGAAAGTAACTTTTCGGCCACTCCTGCAGTTTCCAGCTCAGGCGTCTTCTGGTTTGTAGCTCTTCAATCTTCCTCTGTGGCAACCCTGGACGCTGCTTCTCCGGTATCTCCGGTATCTATTGCACTTGATGGACATCTCTGCCTTCCCTGGTGGAGAAGTTGGCCTGGGAGCAGACACACCCACGCTTGCTCCACTTGCTGGCTGGGGGACCCCTGCTCTGAGCCTCAGCTTCTCGTCTGTGAAGTGCAGAGGGTTAAATGAGATAGTGGATGAGGCTTGTTTAGCACCATGTCTGGTTAACAGTAGGCTTTGAAGCTTTGCCTCCTTTGCCTTCTCCCCAGGGAGACTCACAGCCCTGGCCTGTTCACCCCTGCACCCATGCCTAGGCCAGTTAGTTGTGTGCTCATGTGGCATGGCATTGAATCATACCCATCGCTCTGTTCCTGTACCTGTCTTCCCATCAGATGGGAGCTTCCTGGGAACGGGAGCCGTGTCCCCCTAAATCTGGGGCTTTCTGAGGTCAGGGGTTGTAACTCCCTGGGAGGTTGGGGTGGTAGCCAAGGCCCTCCCCAGTACACTGACCCAACTGGGGCCCCAGAGACCAAGACTCGCCTTGACTCTGCATTGTAGCCTGGTTTGATGCAGAGAGTAAGCAGGGAGGCACGTTTTAGGGAAGAAGGAAGAGGCACTATTTGATACTCTACACCAGACAGACCCATCTGGATGCCTGGAGCAGTTAGACAGCTTAATGACAGTCAAACAGTGCACAAATACAAAGAACAGATGAGGCTAGAAAAGGGCCACACTGGGGCTGAGCAGGACCCCAGCAAGGCAATTAACTCCTCTTGGTGAAAGCCTCTTCTCCAGGATCAGGTGATGCCAATCCTCTGTATAGTACTCTTATGTTGCCCAGAATGTGATTTCCCAGGGAGCCCCAGGGGAGGGCATCCTGCCAGCTGGAGGAGAGGACACTGAACAGCTCCTTTTCTCTGCTACTGATAAACTTTCCTGGCTTTGCCCCACTTTTTGCACCAGGGGCAGAACTGTGACTGACCCTCCACAGGGATCAGATTCACAAACAAGAGCCAGCGATGGGGACTGAAATTGGGAACCAGTAACTCCATAGACCAAGGAGGGGAAGCCAGAGGAAGACATAAGGAAGGCAACCAGGGCACATCAGACAGGCCAACCCAGGAGGCCGGAGAGGAAGAATCAGCCTCTTGGCCCTTTCTTGGTCTTCTCTCCCTTCTTGGAGCAGCAGACGGGCATAAAAGACAAATGAGGCACGGAGGTCAGGTTCAGGAGGCCATGGAGGAGGAGAGGGAGGATTCTGGGCCTGTGGGAAGGTGACCAGTGCGGGCTGCACGTTGCTAGGTGATGTAGGCAACAGTGCGCTGAGCAGAGGAGGAGGCCTCAGGGGATGGAGAGGAAGTTAGCGGCCTCAGAGGATGGAGGTATTGCCTCTTCGGGAAACAGCTTAGTCATGGTGACCCAAGGTGGTAACATGAGACCTCCTGGTCCAAGTCTGCCTCTCAGGACCATCTGCCCTCATCCCGTCCCTTACAAAGAGCTGTCCTCATCCATTCACATCCCCCAGGAAGTGAAATTCGTGACCCATTCCTCCTGCCCCCACAGCTAAGCAACAGTTCAAGAAGGTTGTTTCTTTTGGAGAGTTTCTAGCTCTGCAAGAGAAAGAGCTGGGGCCTCTTTGAGCTGGGGATGAGCTGGCGTCAGGGCCTCTCCATGTGTCACGGGATATGAGCTCATCCTCATTACACTGGGTGGGGGATGGACAGTTACCCGGCCTCTTCATGCGGGCCTGTGGGTTCACTTGCACAGACACCGAGAGGATCTCCCTTGTACACATGCCTGTCTGTGCCCCAGATGGGGCAAACTGAGGGCAGAGCATGGGGCCTCTGAGCCCCTAAAAGGCTGGGGCGCCTCCAACCCCTCCCCTGCACACACACACGTCAGCTCCATGCTTCACCCTCCTCACCACACCCTAGCTTTGCCCAGTGACCAAAGACTCACACACACTGTCTTCCCTGCAAAGTTCTCATTATGCTATGAATCAGAGGGCGGGAGGTAGATCTGGCAGGTACTAGCCCCTGGAAACCCATAAGACCAGTGTGGCTACCTGGGACTGACTGTAATGAGCTGCGGAGGGGCAGATTCCTCCTGTGTGATGTCAGCAGCGGAGCACAGGGCATGGGTGCCCATGTGTGAGGATACAGGGTTGGTTTTGCATGGGGGAGGGGGATGGCAGGGGGCAAGGTGGAGAGGGCTTTCCCAGCCCCAGAAGATGGCCATCCCCGTGCTAAGGCGGAGAACATGTGAGGTCCCAGGTGGGCTCAGGGACCAGAGAGGGCATGAGCAGAGGGTAGTATTCTGGAGGCAGGAGTCCCTCCATCTGTCTTTCCAGACTAAGCCTCAGGAGCATGGCAAAATTAGCACCATAAATAGATCTATTTGGGGCTGGGAGGGAGGTGCCTGTGAGGAAAACTATGGGGAAATCAGAATGAATCTCAAAGTTAACCCCAGAAATGAGTATTTTCCTTGATATTATTCTAATATTTCTTTTTTGATTAGGTTGTGAAGAAGAGAGTTCAAATGATGTTCATAAAATAAGCTATTAACCAATCATTAAAAAGAAAGGCAAGTCACAGTTCAGTTTTGTTTACACACACACACACACACACCCACCACTAAAATGCTCAATGGTAATTGTCTCCAGGTGGTGAGATGCACTGCGCTTTCATTCCTTCAACAAATGTTTATAGAGCACTGATTACATTCGACGGTTATGACAGGTTTTGGGGACATAGTGGAAAACACACCCGGCAAAACTCCTGCCTTTTAGAGCTTATTTTCCAATGGGAGACATGGGAAATAAACAAGCGAGCAAAAGCATATAAAAGGGCCCTCAATTGTTCTTAGTGAAATGAAGCGAACCAGGGAAAAACTCTCTAGATGGGGTCTCAGGGAGGCTCTCTGGCAGGTCCCCACATTTACAGTGAAGCTGAAAGACACAGAGAGCCCCCAGAGGTGGAGAGCACTGGGCTTGTCCTAGTAACTGAGGACCCTCAGCGAGGGTCCTTGAACCTGAGGCAGTGGTTTGGATTGTATTCCAGGAGTGTTAGGTCATCATCAGCACCGGGGAGGGACACGCAAGCTCTAATCCCCACTCTGAGAGCGGGCTTAAGCTATTTTTAGAGAGTAGTTTAGAGAAAGTAATGGATGATCTAGTTTTGCTTTCAAAACTTCATGCACTTCCCCAAAACATTGTATGAAATGTTTGTTTTATCACCATAAGAAGCAATTCTTATTATTTAATTTTTATGTATTATATATTTATTTTATATATATATATATATATTTATTTATATATTAAAGACTTAGAATGGTCCATGCCTTGGAGTTTTGGTGAGCATGGCATTCTTGGAAACTTCTGTAACTACAGCCTTCAGCATAGGGTCTGGATAGCCTCTAGCACATGGTAGCCCCTGCGAAGTCTTCTGCTTGACTTTTTGGGCCTAAAGTTGTCAGACTCAACCCTACCACATCCCAGGAAACAGTTTATTTCCACACAGAATAGAGTTATAGATGTGTCTTGAGAGCAGATGGGTTGTGGACTAGTGGCCAAGAGAATCCCCCAACAGCCCCATCCCTTCATGAGAAGTGATTCCTCCCACCTTTACACAACATCTCCAGA